ATGCATTTGACTCACCAACAAGATTGTCGATATAACGGGATTCAAACTTATGACCTTCTTCTTTCAACATTTTTAAATCAGCCACCTACATTAAGAAAAGAAAAGCCAAGACAAACTAAGATGAATTATCAGTTGTTTATAAGGTATTCATACAACATGCATTTTGGTGAAGCGTGAAATAGTATCACAATACATATATACATAATTGGTATAAGAGGAGGCTAGAATCTGCAAAGGTGAAGCTTAATTCAGAATATAAGCCTCAAACCAAAGCTATTATCCCACCATTGTAGTCAAAATTCCCTTTCTCTACAAGATATTTTGTAGCAATACAAATTGAACCAAAGCTATTATCCCACCATTGTAGTCAAAATTCCCTTTCTCTACAAGATATTTTGTAGCAATACAAATTGCACGGAACTTACATATGATCAAAGGCTATTTGGTATCGCTAAATTTGACTAAGTTTAATATATTTGAATTTTTTGGCTGATACGTCTATATGTTCAAGAGTTTTCAAGAACTTCCAATAAATAACAAGAACTAGGGACAAAAGTAAAGTAATTTAGCTAAATGTTTTACAGATGCAATGGTTATGTACTCACTCCATATAAGGACGCTCCAGCTTTGAAAACATCCCTGAATGCCAATGCTGCAAGAGTTGTGTAACCTCCTGCAGAACCTCCAGATATACAGAGCCGCTTAACATCTGCCTTGCCAGAAGATACCTGCCCAAAACCAAAAAAGTTTAGGAAAAGCTTCCAAAGTCGTTCACTTAAAATAGGCGAAAAAAAAAGAAGATACCAAATATTTAGCACAGCCACAACAGTCATCAACGTCGACAATTCCCCAACGCCTTAACAATCGCTCTCGATACTCTCGACCATAACCTTCAAATTAATGTTCCACTTTGTCACAATAAACCCATGTGTATACCCACAGTGAGAATGGGACATCGAAGACAAGAAATCTCAAGACGAAATACTTTAGCAAGACTAACTATAAAGATGAAAAGATGCAACCATGCAAGTGTGGCGAATTTTGGGAAATTGTAGGCAAAGTAGAAGAAACAACTTGGAACCATAACAACAAACCTGTGCTTCCACCATAATTGACATCAACAAATGCCCACCCTCGACTTGTCCAGTATTGGATATTCAAATTTAAGGATCCACGTGATTCAGCAGTAGGTCCTCCTGCAGATTCAGATTGTCAACAAAAATGATAAATGTGGCATGCATAGCTGATTGCAAAATTATGTTACGGCTAAAGCACACACTTTGAAACGAAAACATGATCTTAAGATGAACAAGATTGAAACTGAGGAAGCATTTCAATTAAGTTTTGAAAAATCGGGATGTCGTAAGTTTAGCATACCATGACTCTTCACTAACAACGGAGGTTTCTCTTCCATGCTAGCATTGTAGAACGGATTGGTTGGAGGATAAAAGTAAGCATAAGCGTTCTGACCAGGAACCTCTGTTGGAAATTCAATCAACTCTGGCACGCTGAAGAAAGCCTCGTACTTCAAAACATCTGGAGATGAAGACCAAACAATTTCAGAACTGAGTGCTTTCATCTTATGCTGATCCAGTGTTACCTGATAATAGGAGAAACTATAAATCCACTGCTACTACTTTTTAATCAGACGACTTGTTCTCAGTTAAAACCTTAAATGGGAATCATTTTTACCCTGGCAACTGATGGTGGAAGAACTGCTGATGCTCCCTCAACATAAAGGCACTGATTTCCCAATGTCTGAGAATGGAAGCACAATTTCTCATCACCTTCGGATTCAATTGGGTAATCATATGAACAAATTTTAAAAAGCTAGAGAAAAAGATATATTACAATGCTGTCAAAATCAGTTAAAGGAATATCGAGCAGAGAACATGAACCCTGTGAATCATCCACAATGCCTAAATATGACTTCCCTTTCTGTCTGCATTCAGGAACAAAATAAATTGTTATCAAAACAGGTATATCAGAGAATGGCTGAAAGTATTTGAATTTTGGTATTACCTATAGCTGCATGCAATTATGTTCTTCTCTTCAGAACACTCTATTATTTCGTAGGAGTTTGTACCGAAAACCCATAGTGGTTTCGCAAACTCACCATCGAGAGGATATACAGAAACAACCTCATTCGTACTTTCAATCTGTGACACAACAAGAAAGTGGAAAAACAAAAATAAGGAACAATGTAGTACACAATAAACATGCCTACTACATTAGCAATTTCTTTGTGCGCCAAATATCAGTCTCTACCCGAAAATTCTAAGATCTTAGCAATTAATACAACTAACAAAACAAACATCTACCAGTTTGGGATGTATATGGTAAGCCGAAAACCAAACTCGCTCAAACAGTATGTGTCTAATGTTACACTATATGACGTCTTTCTTTCATCTTCCCCAAAGGGTTATCAATCTTTCATCTTCCCCAAAGGGTTATTTTTGATAATGTCTGAAGTATGAGAGTACAATCTCTTCCGAGAACAAAGATGCGTGTAGTGAACTTAGTAAAAAGCCAAGAAAAAATGTTTCCTCTACACTACTATTAGTGACTAAAAAACTACCCCTATTTCAAATCTAAAACTAATTCTGAGCATTACACAGCCAAAGCACACTACGAAATTTCCTGAATGTAACTATAATTGGCAAGTGTGAAGAATGTTTACCCATTTATGAATAATCCAAAATCCGTTCTTTCTGTCAGTTACAAAAAAGAGTTCCCCTGCATAAATAAGTCAAAGAGTTTCAGGTCAATGGAAGCAATGAGACATACCAAAGCATGACAGGCTTAATTACAATATGAGGAATTATAACTTATTCACCAATATTAGAGCTCCAATAAAACGTCTAATGGTTTAGAGAACAATCATGATGACATACATTAAAAGACTCTAGTACTTCCAAGGAGTTCTTAATAGCTAAAATCAATAAAGATAAGAAGCCGGAAACACATGCAAGGAATTTGTAGATCAACCTTTTCTCAGTAAAATTCACAGTCCTTGTCACTTGGTTAGAAGAAGAAGAAAGATGATTGCAAACAGTTGAAACAACAAGAGAGCAGAGAGAGGAAGAAGATCCTTTTACGTAGAAGACCCTAGTTTCATCTAAAACGGCTAAAACTGGTGAGAAAAGATCAACTGCAAATCAATCTTTTCCCAGAGGATTTTACAATCCTTGTAACTGAGTGGAGTAATTTTCTGCATATTTTTCAGCTAAGACAAATTACCTCTTGGTGACCACTTCGGCTCAGTGGGTGATTCGACGTATTTGGGATCACAACCAGCAACACATACACGTTTATCAATCTTTCTGCAGAAAGGTATAACTCTGGTTAATACAATTAAAGTGGGGGGGGGGGGGGGGGGATAAAGAAAACTATTAACCATGGAAACCAGCAATTCAAGACCCCCAATAAGACTCTCAGTATTAAGAATTCTGAACTAATTACGAAAAATGCAGTGCATTTGAAAAAATTAGCAAATACTCACCCACCCTCTGAAATGTACCCAACCCACAGCTCTGCTTTGTCCCAAGGCATATTAGGGTGACTCCATTCAATCCATGCCAATCGCTCACACTTGGGATCCAAACGTGGAAATGCATAGAAATCATTGCCACTCACTAGTACTTTTGGTTCTGGATCACAAATATCAAAAAGAACACATGTGAGTATTAATGATTAGTTGTATTAACCAATAAAAAGTTTCAATACAAGCAAAAATACTTGATATATACAATCTACCTTCAAGTGTCTCTCCACTTAGATTAACCTCCACGATTGTCGTAATTGGGTTTGATCTATCCTGGCGACCATCTATAAACACCACTCAAACAATCAACATGTAAATCTTGATAGAACATCAAGAGAGACACCAATACTAAATACTAGAGACAAACCAACCTTCCCTAACAGTAACATAACGGTTAAAACGTGAATCAAAGACTCCATCTGCATAAGTAACAGCTGGTGCTCCATAATCTGGAGTAATTGGCTTTGGAGATGAACCTGCACATCAAGTAAACAGCATCAGAACTTGCCAACAATAAATTTACATAGATAGAATCAATGAAGAGGTTATCTATCACCATTATCAGTAATGTGTTGCTTGTATAATCGCTGATCTTTGTAATTAGAGAAAACAAGTGTGTCGTCTGATGAAATCTGGAAAGCACCACCACCGTATTCTTGTGTTAGAGTCCTCACAGCGAAGTCTTTTGGAGTAATATCAATTGGTGTTTCTCCTTGAAGCACCAAAACGCCTCTCCTTCAATCATTTATCGAAACAAAATCAAGCTCGCAATCAAATTAGGGTTTTCATTTACGAAATCAATCAAAAGAAGAAGAAGAAATACCCGGATTCGTTAGGGCGAGACTCGAGTAAGACGAGACGGCCACGAGAATCGACGGTGGTGCCTCCGAGACGCTTTGAAGCTCCGGAAACGATGTCGGCGGTGATCGGAGATTTCCAGGAGCCATAAGGAGCGGTTGTTAGAGGAGTCTGAGCATTGTCGGGGGAAGAAGATGACATGGATGCGAAGGAGCGAAGTGGTTTGAGAGAGAAGAGATTGAATCGTCTGATCGAAGAAGAGGAGAAGGAAGAAGAAGAAGGGAAGCGAGTGAATGAGAGTGAGACGATGTGATTGAGTGAAGTCAACAACACTGCCATTTATTTTACTCATCCACTATTTTCTTCTTTGCTTCTTTAGTTTTTATGTTTTGATTGGAAAATATGTTCATAAAAATTTTTGAATGACTGTGGTATTGGTAATTTAATTTTTTTTTTTTTAATACTATATGGTTCAGAAGTGGGTCAATTATTTGATCCAAATTCATATGTCGCGGGGTATCTGAGTCCTATTACTTTCGTCGAAAAAAAAAAAAAAAGATTCATGATTTTGTGTCTATTTGTGCATTATGAAGTTTAAATTTAGGAGGAATTCATGATTTTTCCCTTTTTCCCACCTATTCCCCTAGAAAAGTGGAAATCCATACATGTTTTCGTTTGATTAAAGCTTAACTAACAAATAATATAATATCTCGATATTTGTGATTGGACCCATATGCCTTTAATCAAAACATGTAGAGAGAATCATTGATATGTCACACATCTTTTATTCGTACTTTCAAGAAACTTAAGAGAGAATCTTATGTAGAAATGGACGAGCTTTGCAAACGGCTTGCAACGGAATCGCTTTGGGTACAGTATTACCAACTCCTTCCTTCATATCAACTTCCTCATTTCCAACTCTCTCCCATTCAAAGCATTGTATCAATGACCCGAGAGCAAGCCCCACGATCCGTTGGGCCAGACCCGATCCAGGACACGCTCTTCTACCTAATCCAAACGCCATAAGCTTTTGTGCTTCCTCTTCTTTGTCAAACCGCTCTGGTTTAAAGCTATCCGGATCATCCCACGTGTTTGGATCCCTGTGTATGGCCCATGCATTCACTAACAATGTTGTACCACGTGGCATATCGTAGGACCCTATCTTGCAATCCTCTGATGCCATGTGTGGGACTAGCAATGGTGTAGCCGGGTGTAGCCGGAGGGTCTCAAGGACAATGTTCTTAAGATATGGTAGCTCGCTAAGATCTGATTCTTCCATAAGCCGGTCTAAACCAACCTGGTTATCGATTTCGGTTCTAGCTTTTCTTATTACGTCAGGATGGTTAAGCAAATTGGAAAGTGCCCATTCTAGAGTGACTGCTGATGTGTTAGTCCCTGCTATTACCATTATCTGCGAATTAACATCACAAAGTTTAATTTAATAATAACACCAAACAAATTATCTTACGCATAATCAATTTAAAGAAATATATCGTAATTAATAGGAAAAAAATAAAGGGAGGAGATATAAACCAGTATGATGCCTTTGATGATTTCATCAGTGTAATACTCAGTATCAGATTTTTGGAGAACAAGCAAATGATCGATCATTGTAGTACCGGTTTCTTGCTGTCCACGTTTATCGTCAATAAGACCTTGTAAAAACTTATCAGTCTTCTCTCCTAACTTTTTTACCCTTTTCTCATAACTTGAAAACAGTCTTAGAATCGGAACATAGTCAACGGCGTTGCCTGAACTTGTGTTGGCTCCAACATCAGCCACCAACTTACGGACACGTTTTGCTTCTTCCTCATCGGTTGTTTCTTCACCGTAGTAACGTTTTCCTGTCATCATTCTCATTATATTGTTGAATGTCAAGTCCATAAGCATTGGTTTCATTTCCACAACCGTTTTTTCAGTTCCTGTAATTAATTATAGAAAAGAGTCGAGTCTCAGTTGAAAGAGAACAAAAGAAAAAAATAGATTGGACAAAACTTTTCTTCATTACTAAATATGTACGTTACGTACAATGTTTTAAGAAATCTATAGGCTCACAATATATAGAACCAAAAAATGAAAAAATATAAAAATAAAAAAAGTTTTGAGAAATCTTGATGGTACGATATATTGACGCACACAAAGACTCACTGGTCAATTCTCAATATAATTAACACTTAAATAACACCAAAAAGAAATGAAAAGTTGACTATTTCAAAAAACTCCATTACGATTAAAAAATAACACATATATGAAGCATATACATGAAGTGGACAAACTTTTCTCATTACTATGTAAATGTTTTCATAAATCCTTATTCTCGTAATAGATTATAATTTTGACCTTGCAAGCAACTCATTCTATTCAATTGCGGCCGCTACAAGCTATCTCATCCTTTTTTTCATATCATCGTTATTGCATACATACTTATATTTTAATTATTGTGGTCACTATAACACTAAGATAAGACCAACATAAATGAAAAGTCAACGAATGGTAAAAGCTCACATGTAGAATATACATATACCTGCGACACGGAAGAGGCGGCTAATAAGGCGACGTACTTCGTCGGTACGGACATAAAGAAAGCAGTTAAGCCGGTGAGTGGAAAAGATCTCGATGGTGCAGATGCGACGGAGGTTACGCCAGTGATCACCATAAGGTGCGGCGATCATGTTTGTGTTGTTGTAACCAACATGTTTTCCGATGATTACCTGAGGCCGGTTGGCTAGAACGACGTCGTTCTTGCCAAAACACTCCTCCGCCGCAACCCTATGTGACGACACCACATAGACTAGACGGGACCCAAGTCGGAGGGACATCACGCCGCCACCACCGTCACGGTCGAGGGACTCCGAGAAGGAGCGGAGGGTGCGGTGGATGGGTGGCTTCAGGAGGCGGAGATGGCCTATTACCGGCAACCATCCCGGGGGAGACGGCGGAAGATTCTGTTTCTTGGATTTCAAGAACTTGAGAGAGGTTATCAAGAAGATGAGAGATAAAATGGAGTAGAGAACAACTCCAATGTAGTTTTCTTCCATTAATTGTTTGGTTCTTTTTTAGTAAAGTTGTTATATGAAGAGCTGAAAAATCAAAAAGTGGTTATATAATTCGAATTTCGGCACGTTGGGAATTAGGATTTATGAATAAGAAAATTAGGATTGTGATGGGATGAGACCAAATAAGATGTATGCACTTTAAAATAGTTGTATTCTAAAAATATAATATTATACTATTACAAAAGTCATATAAATATCTTTATATTATTCAATAACATAACTTATTGATTTGTTTGCATATAAAAGCCTACAATAAAACGGTCGGGAAATTCATGTAAATTAAAGTAACAGATTAATAATGTAGAGAACAATGATGGTCATATATCTACTGTTCGGGTAAGATTTTCTCTTTCAAACAGTAAAAAAATATCGTTTGGTTGGAATAGCTGATAAATTTAAGATGAGAGACTAATCTTCCGCTAAGAATCGAACATGTGCCACACTCTAGATGGGTGCTCTTTCTGGATCTTCTTTCTTGGACTGATTTATGGGTCTTAATCCTACAACATTAGCGTGGTTAATAATATATAGTTTTCGGAAGAACAAAAAAAGATGTCCTTTCGACAATTCTCCAACTCTTTAATCAAAAGGGCTAATGCGAATGAATGAAGAGCTGGTTTCTGGGAGGAAGATGGGGTTTATTTTAGGGTCTTAGCCTAAAGTAGTCTAATATATAGTTTAATGTTGGGTTGATAGGTTTGAAGAAAAAATGGAGTGGGGTTGGAACGCTGAGATGAATAATTTAAAATGTTAGAGATCTCAGGATAAAAAAGATCAGTATATACTTTTTTCTGAGGCTGGTTGGCCTTTAGAGATTTGACCCTACACATGATGGTGTTGGTGTCTTGTATTTTCATACATGATGGTGTTGGTGTCTTGTATTCTATCCATCGTGTTTCATCCATCCGCTCTATTATGTCACAACATTAATTTTTTAGAGCGCCTCCAATCATAGCCGGACCAATGAATTTTGGGGCTAATTAGAATTAAGAAAAAAAATAACATCATAATTTTCACAATATTAAAAATTTTAAAGTAAAATAATCAATTTAAACAAACTATTATTTTAAAAACATAGTATAGTTATATCCTTAAAAAAAAGCAACAGTAACTTAAATCTTATGAAAATAACTTTTTTTTGCTTTTTCTTCAAAAATTATTCATCAAACTTACTATTTTTTTTTTTCATATTTACAATAATATATAATATATATACACACATATATATAACTAAAAAAAAATTTAAGTGGAGTCCTTCTAAAATGGGAACCCCACTGGAATTTCATCACCACGTGCTCGAATTCGGCTCTGCTTCTAATCACCGGTTACTGAATTATTCATTCGAGATATTTGAGACCCCATCTTAACCATTTACTGTGACTGTGGTATTGTGGTATTGTTGAATGTTGTACATGTGTCACTCCGTAATACGAAGATGCAAATTAAGCCCTAGGTAACATCTTCATTCCACATAATTATTAACATAATTGCACATTTGTTTTGTAAACTATTTAATCCCACACGTGAATTTACCCTCTTAGAGCACCATTATCGGGAGATCTAAATGAGTGTCTAAAAGTTAAAAGATCTAAAAAATAAATCAAAACTAAATAAAAGAAATAGATCCGGTTACAACTTTGGATACTTCCATCAGATTTGAACTCGCATATGTGTCACTTTTTGGTTGGTAGAAAATATGTGTAGAAAGAGAAAAAAAAATTAGGCCTGTTTTTCTCTCCTTTAACAATTTTCCCCGACTTGTTTCCTCTTCCTCTCTCTTGTTCATCTATCACTGATGGCGAAATTGGAATCCAATCCGTCGATTTGAGAACCTAAACACTCAGAACCAAGTTTTTAGAGTGTATGTCAAGTTATATATTTGCAACACAATTAGCTAATACACATTTTTTCAAAATTTAAAATTTTTAGTTCCTCACTTTATAGATCTACCATTGGACTCTCTTAAAATTACAAAACATCCAAAGTGTCTAAGTTTCAAATTTTGTATTATTTATCATTAGAAATAAGGTTTGGACTCCTAATTTTAGTGTCTTGTTAATTAAAAAAAGAACAACTACTAGTTTATACTGGATTACTGGTTGTGTTATCGAGTCAACACATCAACCTTTCTATTAAAAGAGGATATGGAGTTTAGAAAATAAGTTGATCGAATCGAACCATCTCTATATTAATCTTGCGAAAGTACTTTTAAAAAAGTAACATTGGTTTTTGTAAGATATTACGTTACAATGCCATTGGAAAAAAAGATATATAAATACTAATTTAATTTATCTCATTAAGGGTTATAAAATCAATTTACTTTTGAATCCAACTAGGATTTAACCCGCGGTACATCACGGGACAAAATTATTTTATATAATAATTTATAATTTATTAGATTTTTAAATTGATATTATAAAAAATAATTCTCATTTAATTATTTATATTATAATTAATATAGTTGAAATATGTGTACTTAGAAAATTTGTAGGTATAGAAATGATATAGTGTTAATATTGTCAAGCATTTATAATCATGGACTATTACAATAATTTAATATTATTTTGTATTAAAAAATTTTATCCGTGGTATATTGCGGGTCGATATTTTTTTAAACTAAATTTTTTTAATTTTAAGTTATATTTGTTTTGTTAATATTGTTTAGTTTCTTTAGTATTTAAGATTATATAATTATATTTTTATTTTTATTTCTAGGTTTCACCTGTGGTATACCGTTCTGTATTAACATCGACCCAAACTTGTCCCATCATATAACCCCGTTTTGTATTCAGAATCATTTTGGTCCTTTTTATAGTATGATTCTGAACCATTGCCCAATTTTTTAAGCAATGTGGGACATTTTACACATATATTTTCTTCATCGATTGAGTAATATATGTCTGTTTTAAAAAATTTCAATCACATAATATGCAAAAAAAATCTATTATTTTATTAATTATATGTAATTTATATAAATTCAAAATAAATAACTATAAGATCATATAAAAGTGAAAGAAGAATCATATATTAATGTTTAAATTAGGTAGAGATATTTTAGAAAAATTTAGAAATAAAATCAATTTGTTACCATATTTGAAAGCCATAGTTTCTAAAAGATATTTTCGAAAATATTTTGTAATATTAATTAATAGATAAACATTTATGACAATGGCATTCTCTTGTAAATAAGTGTCAACTATAGGATTTATTTCATATTTGTACTTCGAAAATGTATATAAGATATAAGATTGTGCTAATCGCGGGAAATGGGTCTATGAGATTTTCTTAATTCTTCTAAACGTGAGGCTACTGAGATTTCTTTATTTCTTCTAAACTTCATACATAACTAGATATGGACCCGTGCGTTGCACGGGTTACCGTTCGAAATTGTCATTTTTAATTTTTATTTTTGTAAGCATAACTAAAATTATATAAAAATATGTTTTAATTTTTAAAAAGGTAGTATTTTAATTATTTTTTAAATATAGATTAATTATGAATAATGTGCAATATAAATATTATTTGTAGTTTCGTTTATTAGATGTTACAGTATGATATTTAATAAATGATTCTATGTGTATTATTGAAATTTAATATATTATCTACGTCCATCGGAAGAGTGTATAACACTTTCTAATTTCAATGTGGGCAAGATGAAAACAAAATTGTGACAATATGAGACAGTCTATCACCACATCATGTAACTTTACTTGATAATATGAGAAATCCTCAGAACAAAGAGACAAATTCAGAAGAAATTAGGGAATATGGACTAATTAAATAACTTAAGACTAAAAAATTAAGAAAATAATATTAACTAAACAATGTCTATTTGCTATATGGTTTTTGTCAAATTTTGGCCCGTATTACTCATGAGTTCTTCGTTGTCTCTTTTTTCCTTCCTCTCGCTGACGAGAAGTCTCAAATCTCTCTTTTTCTCTCATTAGGATTCTCTTAATTTTGCTTGATGTCCTCTTTTTTTTTCTTTCTCTCCATCTTATTGGATTTCTTCACAACCATATTTTTTTTTCTTTTTCCATATCACTATTTCTCTTCTTCGTCGGACATCACCACCGAGTCTCACTACTCCGACCCACCAGACCACCACCACAACTGAATCTCACAACTATCACAATCATCATCACCATCAATACTAAATCTCGTTAATTCTAACCCACCACCTTCATCAATATTTACCACCACCACCACCAAGCTTGAACCACCGTCATCAACACCAACACCACCATTACCGCATCTTCCCCTCTTTCCCCAATTGCTCTTATTTCTCCACCTTCTTTATCTCCTCCGACATCGGGTCGAGCTTTTTCGACAACAAATCTATTTTATGTCCATCGCCGGTCATAATTCTTAATTTGTCTCCATCGCCATATATTCTTAATTTATCTATCTATCTATTTGTTTATCTATAGAGGTGATTATTTAAAATCTTTTTTTCTCTACGATTAATAATTGATTATAAATTTTTTTTAATTATCATATGATACAATAAGATTGTATAATTTCATAAATCTTTTTTAATAATATTTTATTTTATAATTAGTAGCTTTAAATTAAAATTAGTAAATAATTTTTTAATTTTTAGTTTTATTTAATAAGATACATATAGTTTCTTTATAATTATCTTCTTTACTTTTAATTTTTTTTATAAGATATATATGTATAGTTGCCTTAATTTTTTTTTCTATTTTTATTTCATAAGATACATCTAGTTTGCTTATGTTAATCTTCTTTAAAATTTTAGAATTTTTTTATATAAGATATATATGTATAATTTCCTTATAAATTGTTTATTGGTTTTACACGTTGATAAATTTGACATGTGCGAATAGTTTCCTTATATTATTTTAAAAATAAATAAAAAGAAAATTTTGTTTTACACGTGTCAAAATTTGAGATCGATAGATTTGCCACGTGTCACGATCCTATGAGTTATTAACTTTGAAAACCATACTTTATATAATAAGATTTCTAAAATAGCAATATCACTTATTTTAAATTCTAAGATTTTTTCTGTTTTTCAATTGAATATACCACTATTTCCGTTAGCATAAAATCATGCCTTATCTTAACAAAAAATAATATCACTTTTATTTAAATCTAATATTTTCCTGTTTTTCCAATTGAATATACTACTATTTCCACTAGCATGGAATCATGTGTTACCAAATTATTGTTATCTTAATAAAAAGAAAACCACGGTCAATTGATTCAAATTTATTTAACGTATTTAATATTTATAGAGATTATTTAGTTTTATTAAAAAAATAATAATAATCATACCATGTTTAACAAAATATGAAGTCTAACAATAATAATAAATCCAACTAAAACCGTTTGAGAAGAACCAAAGAAATGAAAAAATTCTAAAAATAATTTAATAGTGAATACTGAACAATACACTAAAAGTCAACACTTTATATTTTATTCCAAAAGACTAAAATCAAATAATTTTGTTTTAAACCCAAACACGGCCGGTTCAACCGGTTCACTGGGTCAAGGATTTTGTGGGATTTCCAGTTTTGAAATTTCTGGATATTAGTACTAAACCCAAACCAGAAAATGTCTGAGTCACGGGTCAGCCGGTATGACCGGACGGTTCAGATTGGACGTAAAAACACTGAAAACATGACATATTTATTTTTATTTTTATACTATAATATTACTTACCTTTCAAAACAAAATTTACAAAGATATTTTATAAAAAAACTAGATAAGGTCCGCGTAAATACGTGGGTTAGAAAATAAATATAAGGATTTTATCGATAATATTTGATCTTATATGTTAATTCTTTTAAACCGGATTTGAGTCTCACATATTTCATTTTCCAATACAATTTAACTATCTATACCATCATAATAAACAGAAAAGGGTATTTTTACATCTGTACAATCCGCAAAGTGTGTTTTCCGACCTGAACAAATATGTAGGATTAATTCATACCCAAACTTAAAAAAAATTGAATTTTACACCTAAACTTTACATTTAGTGTCTAATTCAAAGTTGTAATTAACGGATGTTAGTCAACCGTTACAGCTGAATCACATGACATGGCTTAAAACGACCTCGTATATTATGTTCATGAGTAAAAAAGAGATATTTTTGGGTGGGTGAATAAAGGGTAAAATTGTAATTTAGACATGTACGGTGTTATCTTTACTCTCTCTGTCTACTTATAGCGTCGAGACGAAACTCTCTTTTTGACAGCATCGCCTCCTCCTTACTTCACCTTTTCTCATTTTATCTCTCTTTCTCTTTCTTTCTTCTTCACACTCTCAGATATCTTTTTTTTGGCTTCGACAAAGCTCTCAGATCCACAGAGTCAGAGGCTCATCTCTTCTTTGATCTTGGTTTATGAGGTAAGAACAATCTCCCCTCTCTCTCGCAACTCTCTTCTTCTTTGGTTTTGGGTAATGGATTATAAAATCTATTCTCTCTGACAAAATCAAGATTTTGTTCGTCGTAGAAATATTTTGTTCTTGTTTCTTCTTGGGTTATGAGATTCCTTCTTGGGTCATTGCGATTGATTTGAATTCGATTTAAGATGATTAGTGATTTGTGAAAAAATCGGATTCGTCAATGTAACGATTTTGGGTTCTTCTTAGAATTGGGAATTGAATTAGAGTATGTTCGAATCTGAATCAATTGAGTTTTTTTTCCACCGTTCAATGTTATTTTGTGAAATGTGTGTGTTTTCGATTTCTAGGGTTTCTTATGATTGGGAATAACGAAATGTTATGTTCTTTATCACTTAAGGATTATTCTCTGTTCTTGCAATTGCACTTGGTCACTTTCTGTATCAATTTGCTAATCTTTTTTTTCCTTCGTTTGTTCTGCAGCTCGAAGGAGAAACCCACTCTCGGGTAAGTGCAGCTTTATCTTTCACTGCTGAGTTTGTTAGCATGTATGCTTAGAAGTTGTTTTTATTTGCAGAGGTACGCGGATTAAGACCCGCAAACGGAATATTGCTGCTCCTCTGGACCCTGCAGCCTTTTCTGATGCAGTGGTCCAGATTTACCTGGATAATGCTGGTGATCTGGTATGATTGGTGTCTATGTTCTGCTTTGATCTGGAGATGTGTTTGCACTTAACTTATATTACTCTTGTTTGTTTGGTTTAGGAACTTGTTGCCAAAAGTATTGAGTCATCAGACCTTAATTTCACAAGATATGGTGACATCTTCTTTGAGGTAATTTTACAACTAAACTTTGTGAACCTTTTTCTTGCTTATTTCTTTCATCTTGGCATTGATAGTGTACTCTGATTCCCCTATTCTCAGTTAAGCAGATTTTACCTACACCTGTGTTTTCTTGCAAATCCTTAGAATCACTTATTTGTGTATTTAATCAGCGTGGGGTACAACTTCTAGAATTGGGCACTGTCTTGTTCTGTGATTTCTGTTGTCCACTTTTATAGAATGATATGTGTTAAATCTATAAAATCTGTTTATGCCTATATTTTCTGCAGTGTAAATGTTGCTTGTTATTGTCGTTCTGTTTTCTTCTATTCCAGGGATGTTTGTTTTTATAATTTATTATGCCTGCTGCTGATTTTGTTTGTTTTTTGCCTTTTTATTTTTATTTTTATGAATTTTGATTGAGAGATCTTGTGTTTAAGGTTGTTTTCATAGGAGGACGCACACAAGCTGGAACAGTGAAATCTGATGAAGGGGAACGCCATACGTACTCTGTAATTGACTGTGAACCCAAGCGTGAAGCCATTTTGCCGTCTGTTGTCTACATACAGAAAATTCTGCGGAGGAAGCCTTTCCTCATAAAGAACCTTGAAAATGTTACTCGGAGATTCCTGCAGTCACTGGAGCTTTTTGAGGAAAACGAAAGGAAGAAGCTTGCTATCTTCACAGCACTTGCCTTTTCCCAGAAGCTCTCAGGATTACCTCCGGAAACTGTCTTCCAGCCATTGCTCAAGGATAATCTTGTTGCCAAAGGGATAGTGCTCTCATTCGTAACAGACTTCTTCAAGGAGTATTTGGTTGAGAACAGTCTTGAAGACTTGATCTCTATTCTGAGGCGTGGAAAAATGGAAGACAACCTTATGGATTTCCTACCACCTGTTAGGCGATCTGCTGAAAGTTTTGCGGAACATTTCACGTGAGTTTCTCTCTTTGAAGTTTTTTTTTTTGTTAATTGTCTCTTTGAAGTTTGTAGCATTTAGTTTGATACTTACTTTAGCTTATTTGATTGCATGCATTTCTTAAATTTGATTTGTTGAAGTTTTATTGCATAGTGGAAAAAGAAAAAGCTGCATGTATAATTTAAATCGGTGTCACTGCCCTTGTCTACATTAGTTTAGTAGAAATGCATGTAAAATTGTACATCATTCTGTTTAGCTAACCTAACTGTGAGAATGTGTGAATGATTTTGTGCGTCAGCTATTATAAGTATCTCATTCATTATTATTTGACTTCTATAATGATTTTGTTTGTCAACTATGTATCATAACTCATCTGTTCATTAATCAATCATATAGTACAGATTCTGGTGCTAATGCTATATTCCTCTTTCGTCTGCCTTGCATTCCATGTTTGCATTCTTTTTATCTGTATGGTGTGTTCGTAAAATCAATTGACAATAACGTGTTAACTTTTTGGATTTTTAGGAATGAGGGATTGACCGATCTAGTAGAGTACCATTCAAAGAAAATGTTTGAGGTGAAACTAAGGGAAATCAAAACCGTTCTTACAAGCAAGGTCACAGAGGAAAGTAATGTCGACGAAGTCATTGAATCGGTGAAGCAACAGATCAAAGAAGCTAAGCTGCCTGACATTGAAGTTGTGCGTGTCGTTTGGGATGGTTTAATGGATGCTGTTCAGTGGTCTGGAAAAAACCAGCAGCAAAATGCAAATTCTGTCCTGCGCCAGGTAAGATTTTATAGATATGATGAGCCAACCATTCAATTTATGCCTGTCATTCATATAAGAGTTCCATATAGTGTGTTACTCCACAAACTGCCAATGACTTTTGTGCTAATTTTAGTTGGTAGTCATGAAAAAAGAAGTGGGAGTCGTGAATAATGAAATCATTAATGCAAATCGCTTTGGATATCTTATTAGCCTTGAAATAGTATGTGATCCCTCTTATGGTCATTTCATCTCTTGATGTTTGACTTGTGTAGGTGAAAACATGGGCTCCGCTTCTGAACACGTTTTGTACCAGCGGAAAGCTAGAGCTGGAACTGATGTACAAAGTCCAAATGCAATGCTATGAGGATGCAAAGCTTATGAAAGTTTTCCCAGAAGTAGTGAGGTCGCTCTATGAACTCGATGTACTCGCTGAAGACACCATTCTCCACTGGTTCCGTAAAGGAACAAACTCAAAGGGCAGGTATGCACTTAGTTCCATGACATAATATAACTTCACTTGGAAAGCTTTTTTGATCGTAACTAAAAATTATGAAGCACTCTCTTGATGTTTTCTTGTGGTGTAATGTTGCAGGCAAACCTTTGTGAAAAGCTTAGAGCCATTTGTGAATTGGCTTGAAGAGGCGGAGGAAGAAGAGTGAGTGATCTATGTTCCTAATAAAAAGAAGCAATGAAGACAATAATAATTCAGAGTTTCATCTATCTTTCACATTTGCTTATGATATTTACTCTGCTTTGTATTTTGGCAATAAGTCCGCTTTGAGATTGTTGTGTTTCTTTTTTTTTTTTTTTTTTTGGTTTTGATGACTCTGTTTCCCCATATCTGGTTTGGATTCTTTTGCAAACGGATTTAGGCAAATGCAAAATCTGCTTTATGTATGGTTAATTTGGTTTTTACTTTTTTACTCAACACTTGAAAAAGTAAAAATTATTGTCTTGAATCTTGATATAGCCATCACGTTTGTACTTGAATTTTTGTCATCTGGTATAATATAAGCTGATCGAAAAGTCACATGCCACTATGAAAGTGTAAACAAGCCAAACAACAAGACGAGGAAATTTAAACAGAGGGAAAGACACTCTCTTAAGCAAAGAGATCATGTAACCAAGAAGGATGTCTATAAGCAACATATGAATGGGTTCTATAGTCCTTGATTACACTTTGCGCTATGCAAAATGCCCCTCTATTTGAAGCTTTCTCCTCCACTTCTACCTGTCAATCTTTAACACTTCTCAGAGAAGATAAAATTTCCATTGCTTGATAACTAAAAGAAGGCAAAGAATGAAGTTTCTTCAAAGCTCCAATCAGTTCTCCTGCTTCCAGAGCAAAGATGATTCAGATTGACTTTATGAAAAGCCATACTCTCAATAGCCCACAAAAAGATTTTCTGTTCAGCATTATCCATTGATGCGATGTGAGAGAAGCATCTTCTACTATGCCAACAGTGTTCCTGTTGCATCCCTTAAAATCCAAGAAGCACCTCCCATTTGGTTTTCTTTTGGACCAAAACACTCCTATATTGCACTTTAACCAGGGAGAAGGGGGAAGTTCCACTTTTTCTGCTCAAGAGTCAACACATCAAAATTAGACTGATCAACAGATCTATCCAAACCTTGGAACTGAAACCATTGCTGAAACTTTCTTCCCTAACCTTGTTTATAATTTCAAAAGCTAGCTCCACTTTTCCTTCAAATACAAACCCATTCCAAGATTTCCAAACGAACCACAACAATCTCCTAATCTCAATAGGAATGGAAGGGTTCTTAGCTACTTGAAGGAGATAATGAAAGTTTGAGTATAAAAATAAAGAATCAAAGCCATTTTTTGGAACATGGAACCAAGGAAAAAGCCCAAACTTGTCTAGCCAAGGTGCACGGATCCGTATAAACAATATTTTAGCTTAGAAGTTAGAAGCTACATTTCGTTGTAAACCAAATTAGCAAAAAACAAACTTTTAAAAGGACTCATCGTAAAATTGGGTAAAAGACATTTTTTTTTTGGGTCAATTGATGGATACTATATTAACATCAAAAGCCATTACAACAGAGACTGAAGAACTAAACAGCCAAGAAAAGCTACAGCAACAAACCCAGCCAACTAAGACAATTTTCTTTTACTAAAAAAGGTTAACTATTAGAACCCAAGAGTTGTTCCAGATGCTATTCCACACACCTTACTAACGTGCAATTCCAGAATGCAGAATCCCAAAAATTGTTGACAGAAGTCTATAGAGTGATACCATCTAAATTGGAAAAAGACTTAAAAGAGTCAATAAAATTATTGTTAGATGCACTGCAATAAGTGTTAGATGCCATATTTATCCTGAAAAAAACAAAGAAATATTGTTTCCTTAGATAAGTGAATAACATGAAAGACAGGAAATAAATGAAGAACTCAAAGCACCAAATGTAGAGAGAGAGAGAGAGAGAGAGAGAGAGAGAGAGAGATAGAGCCTACCTGTGAGGAATTGGGGCAATCACGAGCAATATGTCCTTTTCCTTTACATTCGTAGCATAACCGGCGAGTCTTTCTGCCCTGCAAAGTGCTGCTTATGCCCGATGAATTCGGACATTCACTTGACAAATACCCTTCTTCCCTTCTGATTTCTTGAAAGCATACACTGGAAGAATTAGGGCCCTGATGCTCAAAACACCCTTCTTCACTACTGTTTTCTGGAAAGCATACGCTGGAAGAATTAGGACACTGATGCTCAAAATGCCCTTCTCCCTCACAGATAAAGCACGATGCCTAGAGTAGAAAATGATATCAATTCAGTTTAGAGACTCCAACTCAATCATCCAAATCAAAATCTCAACAACGTACCAGTCCAGTATGACCCAGTTGACCACATCTGTAGCAAGATACAGTCCATGACGGTGAATGACTAGGTTCAATACAACATAAATGGCCTAAGCTTTTACAGACATAGCATTTGATATCCTAATACGGTCACGATCATAAGCAACAATGAGAAAATAACAGAAAGAAATGATAAAGCAAAATAATTGGATTTAAGGAAAACAAAAAGTTACCTTCAAATCTTCCTGAGAGTACTCATACTTGCACAAAGTCATGTCATGTCCAAATTCTCCACATCTTAAACATACTTCTGCTGCTTCATCATTATGTCTCGGCATGATTAAGGGAACAAAACCCTAGAAATCTTATTGCGCGGCTTAATCGGCCAAGGTTTCGAATGATTTGGTTATGAAGTTCGAATACGGTGCTAAGATGAGTGTTAGGGTTGGGTTATCTTATATACGGCGGAGTTTGGACGGCGAGGCAACGGCGACGGACGGGGTCGGCGGCGAGGCTAGGGTTTTTCTCTCGTGGAGCCAAGTGTTCTGTTTTCGAACGGAAGAATTTGGGAACAATTATATCCCTAAGTTAAATTTGGTTTAAATACATGCAAATTTCAATGTGGTACCGGTTTACCAAAACCGGATAAATCAAGCTATAACCAACTCTAAAAAGAACCTCTAATTACTGGAAATTCAATACATTTTTGTTTTGGTAAAATAAATTCAATACTTTTTCAAACAATTTTTAATCAAATTCTATTTAGTTATATGTAGTTAATTTTGTGACGAAACTGTTTTAAAATATTTTGTTGGTATAAGAAAATATTGTAGTTATAATAATTAGCATTAATTATTTCTTAATTTCTCTGAAAACTCCTAAAATTAATCATTTAAGAACATAAGTAGTATATGATTTTATAATTGTATTTTCTATATTTAAAAGTTGAATGAACAATTTAGATGACAAAGATAGGGGATATGTCCATGGAATTAATAGTATATCAACCAAGTCGCCTTGGTCCAGTGGTAAAGGAGAGAAAACTCTCTGCCATCTGGGTTCGAGTAGCATTGGCCACCGGGATTCGAATTTTAACATGGTTATCGAAAAAAAAAAATTAATAGTATATGTATTTTGTTTTGATTTGAGGATTACAAAATTTGGTAATAATATTTTTTTTACTTCACTGATATACGATAATATATAATCTTGTAAAAAAAACTTAAGAAATCCCGATTATAAATAACCACGATCAACTCACTTCACTCACGAATCAAATACTTATTTTCAGATGTTAATTGAAGATGTATTCTCTGGAGATATATCAAAAGTTGAAGCTGATGATGTGGTCATGTTATTTGAAAGTGTAAAAATTCTTCCAAATAATGAATATGTCCGAATTCCTATTGGCACCAAAACTAGAAGGGATGCCAAGGTTAAAATTGAGTCTCATTATAATCTTTAGCCAAGGTAGAAACAAAAACTTCTAATGCTTTTAAGTTATATAATGTTCTTTGACTCATTTTTATTCTTTTGTTTCGTAGGTTTGCTTCCAATTTGGAGAAAAAAGTTTTGTGCTAGGAAGCCAACAATTTTAAACTTGTTCAACACTATGATAGCCTTGAACAGTTGAACTTATACAATCAGCTAAGGTTAATTTGCGATTTGTTTACTTTATAAATCAATTTGAATGTTTTGCATGAAAAAATATTGAATGTTATTCATAAGCAGTAACCCAAAAAACCAACTAACAAATCAAATAAACAACTAGGATAAATAATATTGTTCTTTCATTGCACGCTCAATTGTTTTGGAAACAGACGGTTTCTATATGAAATCAACACATGAGTTCCAAAGCGAAGAATTTGATGCTACTAAAATGATTGTCATATGCCATAGAAGCTAAATCACTAAATCGATGTTGGTTATCTTTTAGTAATGCCAACCTTCAAATATGAAACAAATTCCTTTCAAGGCTTGACTCAACAAAGTATACATATAAATGTGACTTTGTATGCCCATATCAACTTAGATGCTTCTTTCTAGCTCACATGAAATTGACTTTTTAAACAATTTATGTTTTTAGCAGAGAAACGCTTCTCTCTCTCACTCCTTTTTTTTTTCTATTTTCTTTTATTATTTTAATTGTGAGAAACTGTAAGACATCTCTTCGATAGAGATGCTCTTACGAGTATTGATTAAAATTTATAAATTTATCTAAAATCATTGATATTGCATCTCATAAATGAATTTTACGTGCCGAAGACAATTACTAAGCAAAAACTATAAAACTGATAACATCAATAATGCTTATGTTATCCGAATTATATTGTTTAAACTCGTATCTTTGTAAAATTTGACTGTGATTTTTTTTATACCATAGTGAAAATTAAAAATAAATCTAAATAAATATTAGTTGATTAAATCTCTAATAAGTATCTCTAAACGGACAATCTTATGATATCGCAATCGATGGCATCTATCAAGACATCCTGTTATGGGCAGCTAAATTTCATTCTTTACAGTTTGTATTTACTAAACGCTCTTGTAATAATGCCGCTCACTTGTTAGCAAAACATAGTGTTCCTCTACGATGTTTTTTCTCTGAAAGTTTTAGTCCACCAAGGTGGTTAACTGAACAATTGTATGATGATTTTTCTTATTCATTAATTTAATTCTCATTTTCGACGAAAAAAAAAATTATCCCTAAACGAACCGGAAAAGGAGCTGCCCATGTTTCAGCAAATTTGATTGTAATGATAACTCAACTTTTTATTTTGATCTTGTAATTCAGCCTGAATGGCTTACTAACACCTATTTATGGATCTTCACAAATGCAATATAATTCGATTTGGATGAAAAAAAATATATACACTGTATCTCGAAAAATATTCTTACTGTAAATATAAAATTAGAAAATAAAATACTAAAAAAATAAAGCATAGAGATATATAGAAAAAAGAATAAAAAAGAAAACAGAGCGCCATTATCGGTGAAAGTTTGTGGTTGTTCCTTCCTTTTGGATCCGATTCTATCTCCACCTTCAAGCAATATTCGACTCGGTACTCTCTCTCTCTCTCTTCTTCTTATTGCAAAAAGATTCTCTTTTTATCAGTTTTGTGGATGAGATTCTGGATAAAACAATCATCTTTTTCTCAAAAATCTCTGCTTAAGAACTGGGATTCTTAAAAGCTCTTGTCTTGGTCTGATTCTTCTGATTTCCCTCAATGTCTCTCTCATTCTTCTCCAGAGCTATAAAGTCGATTCCTTTACCACCCTTGTGAAGAATTTGGTCGAAAGTTTTGGCCTTTAGCACCCAAATTCAGAGGTCCAAATCTGTGGTTGTGTACAATTTTCAATCCTGGCGATAACTGAATTGAAAAGGGTTCCAAAAGGTCCATCACCTGAAAACAATAGTTTTGATTGTGTTGGTGGTTTGGAGTGCTTGATAAGCTTAATCAGGGCCCTTGATATGGGGTCCTGCTTATCATCATCTGGAGGAGGAAGTAGGAGATCTCTTCATGGTTCTCCTCATGTTCCTGGACCTGGTAGGAGGAAGAGGCCTCCCAAGAGGAGACCCGGGTCTTGTAGTTCTTCCTTCGATAACACGGATGAGCCACTTCTTCATAGGATCCCTGGAAGGATGTTCTTGAATGGCTCTACCGACACCGCCTCTCTCTTCTCTCAACAGGGCAAGAAAGGACCTAATCAGGACGCCATGATTGTCTGGGAGGTGAGTTTGCAATTACACTGCATTTGTTGTTTAGGCTGCTATAGTTTAGATATGGATTCTATGGAACCTAGTGTTGCTAATGTGAGCTTTAGCTGGATAATGCTTAAAAGTATAGATCTTTAGTAATCTTGGTTGTTAAATGTTTTTAAATGTACAGAATTTTGGGTCTGTGGCGGACACCGTTTTTTGTGGTGTTTTTGATGGCCATGGTCCGTATGGTCACATTGTCGCAAAGAGAGTGAGGGATTTGCTTCCACTCAAGTTAGGTTCTCACTTGGAGTCTTATGTGTCCCCTGAGGAGGTTCTTAAAGAGATCAGCCTCAACACTGGTGATAGAAAGATCTCAGAAGACCTTGTACATATATCTGCCAATGGAGAATCACGAGTCTACAATAAGGATTACGTAAAGGATCAGGATATGATTCAAAACTTAATAGGCTCGATTGTTAAAGCCTATACATTCATGGATAAGGAGTTGAAGATGCAAGTGGATGTTGATTGTTTTTGCAGTGGAACAACTGCAGTTACTATGGTCAAGCAGGTAGTTGGACCAAAATGTTCTGATGTTGTTTCTAAGTTTGTTTCATGAAATCATTTGTATTTGTCTTGATTGTTTGTTTTTTTTTCGGGTTTTCGGTAGGGTCAACATCTTGTTATCGGTAATATTGGGGATTCTAGAGCAGTATTGGGTATGAGGAACAAAGACAATAAACTTGTTCCTTTTCAATTAACTGAAGATCTCAAACCAGATGTTCCAGGTAATCTATCGTCCATTCACTCCCACAGTTGCCTCTAAAAGCCTTTTTGTGGTTATATTTTGGTACCATCTGAATTATCAATTAAAGATTGAGTTTTATTGTTTCCAGCGGAAGCAGAAAGGATAAAGAGATGCAGAGGACGTATATTTGCTCTTCGAGATGAACCAGGAGTTGCCCGTCTGTGGCTTCCTAACCACAACTCACCTGGTTTAGCCATGGCACGTGCTTTTGGAGATTTTTGCCTCAAAGACTTCGGTCTCATTTCTGTACCTGACGTGTCCTACCGACGCCTCTCTGAGAAGGATGAATTTGTTGTCTTGGCAACTGATGGGGTAAGAAAAATCCTAGTGTTTCTGAAAAACTATCAGTAAAATGCCAAGTTCAATTTCAGAATAATTTGGGACTAGTGAGCTCATTCTCTTAAGAAACATATACTTTGGACACACATCGCATAAATGTGTAATGGATGTAGCAAACTATACCCTTCTAGCTGTTAAGTACATTTTTCTTTCTTTAAAATTTGCTAGATTTGGGATGTATTGACGAATGAAGAGGTAGTAGAGATAGTAGCCAAAGCCCCAACACGTTCCTCAGCAGGTCGAGCCTTGGTGGAGGCTGCAGTGCGGAATTGGAGATGGAAGTTCCCAACTTCAAAAGTCGATGACTGTGCCGTAGTTTGCCTCTTCCTTGACTCTGAACCGAACAGATTGTCAACTGCTTCTTTCTCAAAGGAAAAACACATCAACAATGGCCTTACTGAACCAGAACCAGACACAGCATCATCATCAACTCCAGACTCAGGAACCGAATCGCCTGAGCTCAAAGGAGTCAACAGAATCGACACACTTGTGAATCTCCCAGTATATGTCCCAACCAAAGAGTAGGAAACATAGAACAGATGCAGGAGCTCATTGTCTCCTATGCTCAATGTTTCTGTCAACAGTTACTGTTTTGGTCATTTTTTTTTTTTTTCCTCACTGTTTTGGTCATTTACCTCGGGTAAATTACTGTTACACGCCCGCTTGTGTGTGGCTGATTGTATATATCTTTTCTTCCAAATCATTGTAATACTTTTTCTACTCTCTCTTTTCATTTGTTAATAAATTTCTGAAGCTGCAATTGGTTTTTTCATAGCAATTATTTGAACAAATTTTGTTTGTTGGAAGAACACAACACAGGCCTTTTGAGTCACTTGTGTGAAATAAATATGGTTTTAGTGTTACGTTATATGGCAATGTTAGTGTTAGTACAATAAGAGTATGGAGAAAATAGATTTCTCATTTTTGGCAATTTACTTTCACTTTTGTCAATTTATAATTGCATTTCCAGTAACATTACTTTTTTTTTTTTTTTCTCTCACATATTAACACATTATTTATTCTTTTCTGGTTGCCAAACATTCAAAAATAGTTACATCGATGTTTTTTCAGTCCATATTTACTTGAGAGTTAAGACCAAAACAATACATATATTTATCTTTGAGAGTATACAACAAAGAATGAGTAGTTGTCTATGTAAAGTTACATGACCCAAAAAGCCAAATCACATCCACAAAAGGATCAAATAATCAAACCCAACCATCTCCTTGTTAGCAAAACTATGAAGTAAAAGAATGGAAAACCCAAATTAGTATCGACAATAACGTTACAAGTGTTCCGTTCATCACTGAAGAAGCCGATATGAGATTATCTGCTCCGAGTGAGTAAGCCGCTCCCGATCCATCTTTCACTTTGATGCTTGACGAACCTAACGAAACAAAACATTTGGTGTGTTTGACTTCTTCTTTGATCATCCATCGTCATCTAACTAGTTCTTGAGTTTTAGAGACTTACAGTTGTGGTCAGCCCATCCAATGACCTCATTCTCCAGATCGTATACTACTAACTTGTTTGAAAGCACCAAATCTATAGATGAAGAAACCAAATTTCAACTCAAGACACATGCAGTGTAACACCTATTATTGTATTGTGGCTAACTTGAAAAAGAAAAACATAACATATGATATGAAATTTACCTCCCAAAAGGATTACATCGGCTCCGTCCTGCGTCGTCATTCCACCAGATTGCCAACCAAAGCAATACATATCTTCCTGTTTGGGAAAATCATTACTTTGTGTATGAGACAATTCATATCAACTCTGTATAAAATCATTAAGGTTGATAATAACACCAACTTTAACTATGTCTATTAATCAAACTCAGTTAGAGTAAGAATATTCTGTCGAAACAAACACATCAAAGTAGGAAGCTGCTGACTTACACGAAGTGAGAAAAGATAGTCATGCGGATAAACAGAGAGTTTCAGTGAGTCCTCGAAATGAAGATTGACTACCGGAAACGCTTTATCTGTGCTGCAAGTACAAGAAAGAATATGTTAGCACATCTCACATAAAACAAAACAAAAAACTCGCAGCATGGAATAATCCAGATCCATGAATTCAAGCTTCTTAGCACTAGTATGTCAGAACATCCGTTGGTATCGAAAAATGGAGAATGATTGAGACATAGAGGCTACGAAAAGGAAGCAAGTCATCTTACTTTGAAGTGAAACTGAAACACGCAAAAGTTTCCTGTACCATGTGTAGTTTCACCTGTTGTTTAGCAGTAATCTATATATACAGAAAAATACTATGTCAGGGTTGTGAGAATAAACAAGAAACAAGTAATGAAAAAGAGTTTCACCTTTTCAATTAGTGAGTTGTAGAGATTCTGTGGTAAGTATGCTAAAGTTGTACCACTATCGATTATCGTTCCTCCATCACCGTTAGTACTAGCTAGACTTGGTGGAAGGTCAATAGGTTCACCATCCACATCCATTCCCTTTAAAATGACGTTGTAATGTACCCTAAAAGTTGTTGGATAAAGTTATTACTAGAAACAATATTCAAAAAATATGAATGACTAGAGATGATTTTCACTTACTGATTAGGAACCAAAGGAGTTGTTTTCACTACTGGAGATTCCACTTCCCCAATAGCAAAAATTCCACCTCCATTCATATTATCCAAGCAATGTGAAAATATTCTCTTCACACTCCCCCCGGCAGCTAGTTGCGAAATGACGGAGGTATTTGATTGTCCGAAGCCCATGATTCCATCAACCGCTGACTCAGTTTGTCCAAGCTGCCCAGACTGATTTTTTCCACACCTGTCTCACAGAGGAACCCTTATGATGAAGCAGCATACACCAAGTTAACGAAACATCAAAAGTGTACCGCTATACTTACCCAAATACAACTTCTTGCGCAAGGGGTGCAGTTCGAAGATTTCCAGTCACTTGATCCAAAGTAATGTTATCCTTCACAAAATCTCCATCACTTGTACTTCCATCTCCATACACTACATGATAACTACATGGCTTCTTCGCCCCACAAGTCTCCGATTGCATTATAAACGAACAGAAAGCATCTTCACATCCAACGTTCTTCGAAGTCGAAGAAGCTTTAGAGTCATACAATGATAATGGTATCTGCATAGCAACCAAAAACATACATCTGAAATTCCAAAATGTACCAAAAGTCTCGATAAACACGGGTTATAAAGAAGCATACACCGAGATCAGTTTTCACAGGACACTTGGGACACGGTGCACAATTAACCCAAAGTATGTCACTTCCAGTATCAACTTGAACATAATATTCCTTTGGTGGTGACCCAAGCTTGATTTTGGTGAAGTATAAACTGAACACATATCAATCAAATGAAATCTCATAAGTACATACAGAAAATGTGTTGGAACCAAATTTTGACAAGTGAGTTTTAAACGCTAAATTACAGCGATTTTAGAATAATTTAATTTAATTCATTAACAATCATAGATTCTTTTGTTTTAATTGAATAACACAAAACATTTAATGACTTTATAAAAGTATGAATCCAATAATCTTAGATTTATGAAGATTTTAGATTACTTTTTACAAATCTTAAATTAATAACATCAAACTTTAACAAACTTTTAAAAAATCTTGATTGAATAACAATAGATTCTACATAACATTTAAAGTCACTAAAACTCTATTTAAATCACAAACCAATAACACCCCCTAAGTAAAGAGATCATATCTCACCTCCGCGAATTCATTTCCGGTTTAATTCCGCTTAACAAAACGTTTTATAATGCCATTTTAATAGCAGTTTTCTAATCTGATTTTTTAAAAAATTTAATCCTACAAATTTTGACAAGTGACTTTTAATCGCTAATTACAGCGATTTTAGAACTAAGGAAAGATATCATCTCTCACATCCGCAAATTCATTTCCGGTTATTTCTGCTTAACAAAACGTTTTATAACGCCATTTTAATCGCAGTTTTCAAATCCGATTATTTTTTTGAAAATTTTGATCCTACAAATTTTGACAAGTGACTTTTAATCGCTAATTACAGCGATTTTAGAACTAAGGAAAAAGATCATATCTCGCCTACGCCAATTCATTTCCGGTTTAATTCCGCTTATCAAACGTTTTCTAACGCCATTTACTCTTCTACTCCGAATTTTTTTCGAAATTTTCAATCCTACAAAATGTAATTGCATTTTTCCTAGTTTCAACGACCAAAAATAAGCAACACGATCCAATCTAGAAATAGCAAATGAAGATGGATCTAGAAGAAAAACCCGATGGAGTCGGCGCGACTATCGCCACCGAGAGGAAGATCGATGTTTGCAAGCATACGAGCGTGACGAAAACTGTCGTGAGATTTGAGCTCAGACAATTGTTTCTCTTTTCCGGCGAACTTATGCGTCACATTAAATACGAAATTCCCGGAAACAACTTGGATCACCACCATCAAAACCACCGCAACAATGCGTGAAATTCTAATTAGATCCATCGTCACCATCAACTATTATCTCTCCGATCCAAATCGCCGCGAAAATCAAAATCAAAATTTGTTTGAAATGTGAATCGAATTGAATTTGAAATTCATTTCAAGGAGTTTTATGATTTTCGGATGATGGGAATTGAATTTGAAAGATGGACCGAAGGAAGCAACAGAGGAAGAGAGGGAGACATGGGAACGAGAAGAGAGGGAAACGCAAGAGAAAGCGACGCGTTTTCAACGGTGAAATTTTTAGCTTTTTTTTTTTTTTTTGGGTATTTTTAATAAATTATTATTATTTGACAAATACGAGAAAGAGGATAACAGAATCCCCTTATTATTAAAAGGGAAGTACAAATTGAAAAATGGTCAAATTTAGCCTCAATTTCAATTTCAATTTTGGATTTTGTTCTTTGTTAATCAAAATCGACAAGGGCAATTTGGTCATAAAGTTTCATTAAACTTTCTGAGATCCGCGTGTTAATACTCGGGTGGGTTAGGAGTAATTAACTCTTAATCACATAGTCAAGTTCTCAATCGGGTTTAGCATCCACATAAGTCAATCTAAGCCTTACAAATTATTTTGTAATTTTAGTTCATTTTTGGTAACTAAATATGAGCATATTCGATCATAATAACTGCAATTCGATGTAATTATCTCTCATAATAACTGCAAATTCGATCATATATTGCCTAATCCCAAAAAAATCGTAATTACTATATCTCATAAATATAATCCTAACCATAACCAACTCTACAATATTCATCATTTATCTAAATATAGCCAATCATTCAATTCTATTCCAAATTCGAATATATTTTGTTAATAGTATCTTTGATTTTATGCTTTGTCTCCAAGATATTCTCCTAGATTTTAAAATTATTGGAGCCAAAAACCCTAGCATCCTAGAATGCTATAAATATCAACGTCATTCTCATTTCCAATCCATCACTCAAATTCCTCTAACCTTAGCATCCTTCTTATTTAGATATCCCAAATGGCTCAAGCAATTGCTTACCTCGATGACATCAAACCATACAAAACCACTTGGAGAGTTCAGGTCCGTGTCCTTCATACCTGGAAGACATTTACCACAAAGTTTGGTGAGACTTTCGACATGGTTCTGTCTGATGTCAAAGTAAGAATTCTTTGTCATGTCTATATGAGTTCAATATATAAATAAGTTGTCTAATGATATACTAATATATTTCTATTTCTATGGTAGGGCAAGAAGATCCATGCGTCTGTGAAGAGAGAGCATCTCAACCGTTTTGAGAAGCTCATGGTTCCAGGAGAGTGGAAGGCTATTGAAAACTTTGGATTGACTTATGCAACTGGTCAGTTCAAAGCAACTGATCATCGTTACAAAATGGGCTTCATGGCTCAAACAAGAGTTGTGAGGATGGACCCATTGTCTGATTCTTATTACCTGTCATTGACTCCTTTCAATGATGTTTTAACTGGTGGTCTCAACCAGAACTACTTGATTGGTACATTTTCATATGAGCTATATTTTCATTTTTATCTAATCCTTTATGCAATATATATTGACGTTTTGTTATTCTCTTTTGGTTCAAGATGTTGTCGGTCAAATCGTTAATGTTGGTGAAATGGAGACTATCGACGTGCAAAATAAACCTACTAAGAAGATTGATTTTGAACTGAGGGATCATACGTAAGTTTCATTCATTAGTTCTGTCTGCATTAAAATTAAAGAGTCTTATTTTTGAATCTAATATTGCTATTACAATATTTAGGGATGAAAGGCTACCCTGTACTCTATGGGGTTCATTTGCAGAACAAGTTTTCACTGCCTGTGAAGCTTCTGCTGGTGAGATGGTCATATGTTTGGTGAGATATGCTAAGATCAAGACTTACAAAGGTATTTTGTTTTGGTATTAATATCATACTTATAGTTTTTTTAAATCTTTTAAAAATTGAGCTGATGACACTTTCTTTATGTTTTGCTTTCTAGATGTAAGGAGTATCTCCAATGCTTTCAATACATCTCAGATCTTGATCAATCCAGACATCCCTGAGATTGGCGCCTTCAAAGAAAGTTTACCAAAAGATGGGCTTGCTCTTACTCTTCTTGAGTCTAAACCAAAGCAGGAAATGATCGAGCTGCCTACAGGAGATTTCTATCTTCAGTTTCCTAAGAAGACCATCAAAGAAGTTGCTGAGATGTTTGATGTAATAGTTCCTTTTTTCTTTTACATTCTAATTTGATTGCATAGTTGATTCTAACCAACTTTTAAATGTTCCTATTTTCAGACTGGGAGGGTTAAGGTGCTCTGTACAATATATGATATTGACAGAGATTGGTCGTGGTATTATATTGCCTGTAGGAAGTGCAATAAGAAAGTGTCTAAGGTTGTCACAACTTCTCTCAAGCCACATTTCTGGTGTGACTCTTGCCGATCACCTGTGTGCAATGTGGTTGCAAGGTATGGTTCATAATCTATTGATATATTAATGATTTATTTGTTACTGAAATGTCTAATTGTAACGATGAACTCAACAGGTACAAGCTACATGTTAAAGTAATGGATTCAACTGGTGAGATGAAGCTGATGCTTTTTGAAAGTATGGCTACTGAGATTGTTGGCTGTCCAGCAAACAGTCTCCTTGATGGATCTTTCGATGAGTTTGAGGACCCAGATAACCTACCTGATGCGATCAGACATTTGATTGGTAAGACATACCAGTATCTGGTCTGTGTTGAGAATGAAAATGTGTGGAATGGACTGGATACTTATAAGGTATCCAGAGTTCTTGCTAATGATTGTGTTGGAGAGGAAGATCTACCAGATGATTCAATTGATCAGGTATGGAATATTCTAAATTTTGTCTGAGGTCCTACCCCCTATGATTTGAGAAGAATTCGATATATCAATAATCCTAATCTTATTATGTTTTAGACTCAGGGGAGCCTTCTGCTTACCTACTCTGGAGAGCCTTCAGAGACTACTACTCCATCTTCTAAGAGGAGTAGTGACAGTTCTCTGTCACCAGCTGATAATTCTTCTACAACTAAGAAACTTTGTCTTGAGTCAATCAACGTTGTGAAGATAAAGCAAGAGAAGGGTGTGAAGACTAATGAAGATAAAGTCGATGGAGTCAAGCTCGAGTGTGTTGCTGTGAAGCAGCATGAAGAGAACACTGATGAAGACAAAGTCAATTTGGACAAGCTCAAGGGTTCTGATGTTAAGCAGAAGAACAAGAATATGAAGTAGTTGACATCCAACAATGTTTTTTCTTTTTGGATTTGTGTTTTCAATAAGTGGTTTATGTTAGCAGTTTCCACATTTGCTTCTGTTTTCTAAAATTTGGAATGTTATTTGGTTTTATTGGTTTTTATATTGGTTTTTCTTACAGTTCATATCTATTGTTTAATGCTTCTTTAAATGTTTCTTTAATCACTGGAAAACATACATCAGTGTTCTTATTATGTTGGTTTGATATTTCTCTAAGAACTTTTTCTTAATTTTATAAGTTTTTTCATTTGTTTTTTTTCCTATTGGTTCTTTATGTTTTTAAGTTGAATCCTTCATCTTAATTCAATATATGATGTAGAAGATATGTTCCAAGAAGCTAAATTTTTATATATAGTAAAAAAAGACTTACTTTTATGGTATTCTTCAGCATGTATTTCCAACTGCACCATAAGCTTAATGCACCTAATCCTGTCAAAATGAATCAAATATGTAATTTTTTCGGTTTACTCTCATGGAGTAAGATACAAATATTCTTCTGTTACCAAATATGAAAAGAGTAAATATATTAATATTTCAGAAAAATAATAACAAATATACGGTTAAGAGAATAAAAATCTTAACGGTGAGAGAAGTATGGAAACTCTAAATATATCATATCATTGTTATAATTACTTTTCCAATTTCAATGCGTATGTCAGTCCATATGTAATCATCACTTATAGATAATATTGAACTTTTATTGTTTTTTTAGTCTTAAACGTTTCATATAACTTCACAGGAACTTCTCTTCATAAATATATAACAAGATCTCCACAGAAGTAGTCACAGGGAAACCCTAAATCTAAAAACATTTTCCTCAATTCTAAAAGTTTCTGTTAAATATGGAACCTCATCATTATCTTTCTGATTTGAATGTTCATGCAACAAGATGGTTGGTGCATGTGAAGATATTAAGTTTATGGAAAGAACCTACTTCTTCTTGGAGGACAGAGATCAGAATGATATTGGCTGACGAGAAGGTATAAAATTCTATGACTTATACGTTTCTTGCTCTTTTTTAAAGAATGTTTATTTGTTTTGCTAAAACTCATGCCAAAATTTTTGATTTCAAAAGGGAAACAAGATCGATGCAACCATTCCAAATCGCCATTACCACTGGAATTTCCTGGCTGTATTGAAACCAGGGTTATGGTATCGCATGTCTGACTTTGAGGTTGTGCGTCCTGATGAGAAGAAAACCAAATATTCTTGCTTCCCAGTCGAAATCAAATGCAACGCAGACACTACCATGTGGCCTATTACTCTTGAATGTCCTTACAGTTTTTTTGATTTTGTTTTCCCACAAACTGTTGAATTTGCACAGGAAGAGGACAAAGAGTTTGTAACTGGTAATAGATTTTGTAATGTTAGACAGTTTTAGATTATAAAAACCTTACTGAACTCTTTTTTATCTTTATATCATGTCCTTAGATGCTATTGGTGTTGTCAAGGCTGTGACTACCATCAAACGGTTTTCTTATGTCTGTCAGAATGGAGGGACAGATTATGAGTCAAGATATGTGGCTTTCAAGTTAGTGGACTATGAGTAAGTTTGACTTCAATTAAGTTTGTAAAATCCAGTGTTGTTATTTTCATATCATCTGAAATTCTTTTTTTACATAAAAGTTTTGTTCAAACATACTATAGGGGTAAAGAGATCAAGTGCTGTGCTGTTGGTAGGTGCTGTGAGTTGTTTGTAATCAAATATGCTCAACAAATCAGTAAGATTACTTACAACTACCAACCTATAGTCGCTGTTCTCCGAGGTTGGAGAATCAGTGAGGTTTTTGGTAAGTTTTTCTATACAACTTTCATGAGGATAATTTGTTTTGTCTATAGTTCAAGGGTTCTGATGTTAAGCAGAAGAACAAGAATATGAAGTAGTTGACATCCAACAATGTTTTGTCTTTTTGGAGTTGTGTTTTCAGTAAGTGGTTTAAGGCAACAGTTTCAACATTTGCTTCTGTTTTTTAAAATCCGGGATATTTTTTTGTTCTATTGGTTTTGTTTTGGTTTTCCTTACAGTTCCTATCTTTTGTTTGTGTTTGTGTTTGTGTTTTTATATAAAGGTATCAAGTTAGCGGTTTTAGTCAGTCTAAAAGAGTATTGATCAGTCTAAACAGAGTACTTCTGTCTATATTTGTTATTAACTATACAGCACTTTCATCCATGAATATAGGTTCAAATGTTTTAATGAGTGAACATGGTTGTTCCCATCTCTACCTAAACCCAAGGTTTCCGGATGTAGATGTCCCAAGATACATGTAAGATTCAATTCTAGCTTATGATTCAAAAAACTACCTTCTTTTGTTGTGTTTCTACACTCACTCTTTGTGGAATTTACACAGTCATGATTTCATGGAGAAGCAAAGAGCTGGCGATGACAATGTCATGATGGAGGTGGTTGCAGAGAACCAGTAGATGTTCATTGCTGTTTGGTGGAGGACCTATGTTTAATTATGTTCTGTTTTATGTTTTCCTATTGCAGTTTCAGTATTGAACTCTTTTGTTTTTGTTTATGCAAACATTTGGTCACTAATTGATGACCCGGGTTCATATGTAATAAGTGAAACTCTATTTTATTACGTATACTTCTATCTATATCATGATAGATTCAAGTTATTTTCTAAAACTTTTTGTTTTACTATTGTAGAACAAAATACATTGTTACGAAGCTTTATTTATCATTAACCATTCTATGGTAACTTACTACAACTACTACATACAATTAAAAGTTTGTCAAATTGAGAATAACTAACCTTTCCGTATGATAAGTTATCTGTTCCTTGCGTAATGGGACTTACTCATCTTATTGATCATAACCTGTTAATAGGAAATAAAATAATAAGATTTCTTTAACTAATTAATTATAGATTCCTTTTTTAAAGGTATATAGCAACGAGATAATATTCTTTTTTGGCATTAAAATATATCAAGAATATCTAATTGATTCTAAACAAAACAGACTTTATTGTTAGCAAGATATCAGACCCTACATGTTTAATCGTCTAATCCTTGAAACAATATTGATTATTTGATTACAGAAACATTTTCTAAATGAAGAAAAGAAATTCATTGGTTGATAAAGGTTTAACTGACGCAACTCCATCTTCTAAGAGGAAGTGTTCTACACCTAAATCCAGAGTTATAAGTAATTTGCAACAACCTAATTCATCTGAAAAGCAGACATCAGTTCCTGTGAAGTCAATATTTGGTAGGGTATTTACAGACATAACAAATTTGACTCCTGTGGTGTTAGAAGAGTCTCTTTGTCCTAGAGAGAAAAATTTATCAGTAACTGATACAGGTAAATCATTATATTGATCATTCTGCTAATTTTTTGATGTTTACAGTTTTGCTTTATGTTTTTCTAAATGTACAATTTGCTTCTTTATAATTGTTTTTTAGGTTCACTAGATGAGAACTCATATCTAACACCTGTTTGTGTTAGACAATCATTGTCTTCTCAAGAACCATACTCTTTATGCTCGGTTCCAATTACTGCATCCATTCAATCCTCTCAATGCCAGGGATATATAAATTCAACTGGTATATTGATAGTACATTTTAACATATTCTTTTTTTTTTTATATATAAATCTGACTTATGTATTAAATGTATCCTATAATATACTGCAGAACTTAGTGAATGTTTGATAAATGATGGATCAAATTTAACAGATATACCAATTAAA